ACTAAATAAATAAGTAAATTAATTAATTAATTAATTAGAACAACATACAGTAAAAAAAATTGAGGAGTTACAAAATTATCTGTTCACAAGTCACAAGGGATGGTACAAGTAAAATAGAACTAGGTGCTGTGGTATACACCTGAAATCCCGTCTACTTGCAAGTCTGAGCTAGGGGGATGTAAGTTCAAGGTCAACCTGGGCAACATAGTGAGATGATTTCTAAAAGAAAAGAAATGACTAAAATGTTAGAATAGAGCTTGAGCACTTGAACTTGGGATCTAGCAAGAGTTTATCTCTCTGTATAAACTTCACCTTTTTAAGTGTTGGGCCATGTGGAAAATATAACTGTAATTTGTCTCACCTGTCAGAAAACTCAGAGGTACAGTCTGTATTCAATGCACTAATTATATATTTTAGATGTATACAATTAATAAGTTTCTTTATTCTCTGCTCTCTTCCTAGAGTCTTTATTTCTTTTTAATTTTTAAATAGTTTTATTGAGAAACAAATAGCAATGAGACAGTTTCAAAACCGATTACTAGCACAGTTTCAATAATTAATACATTGCATATTGTTGTCTTAGTGGTTATTCATTGTACAGAATGCAGACATGATATCCTGTCCACAAACACTATTAGAACAAATCTTTCTATTCATTGAATTAAGAGAATGCAGCTGTATATCCATCCTAACTATTCTGAGTATACAGATACAAAATGGTCGTTCGTTTGTATCCCCCGTTTTTGTTTAGTTTTGTTAGAGAAGGGCATTGCATTGTCATTTAAAAATTGTGGGTGCGTGAATTCAGCAAAATAGTCCAATATAGTCCAGTAGTCCATAATAGTAGTGGGTTTTCCATAAGACAGGCAATGTCAGAAGTTATTTTTTTTCTTTTGTGCCATAATTTTATTCATAAACAAATAGCAATGAGACAGTTTCAAATCAAATCCGTAGGACAGTTTCAATAATTAACACACTGATTTCAGGACAAGGAGTGTTATCAAATAACTATTATCTGGAAAAAAACTTTTCATCATCTCATGTAATTTAAATTCCTGTCCTTTGTTCCCTTGTGTATATTTTTGCATTAAAAACTCTGCTAAAAAAATTAACACACTGCATACATTCTTCTTAGTGTTTAATTGCTGTACAAGATGTGGACTTGATATCCTATTTACAAAC